GGGGGGGGACGGGGGGGTCAGTATGGTCAGGTTGGACCGTAGAGTCATTCAGCACAGAAACAGACCCGATGACTCTGTAAACAGTCCAACATACGGCATCTTGTTGAATGACTTGTAAAAATCCCGAATATATTACATTAGCTGTCTATTCTGCTTGTCAGCCTCCTCAGGAATTCCAGCGAATGTGATTTACCCTTGGTCAGGGCTGTGCTGACTTTGCCTTATCACTCTACGTATCTGTAAAACGCTCTGCTATCGTATTCTTTGCAACACATTTGGTTCGCCGCTCGATAATTGTGTGTATTTTATTTTTCCACTTGCCCTTGCCTTTTTCAAATTGGGGCATGCCTCTTGGCAGTTTTCCAACCCTGTGGGACGTTTCCACGCTCTTCAGGATTCCTGGAATATTTCGAACGTCCCCAGCTGCTCTGTTCCCCGGTGGGGGGCGCTATTAAGGAGCGACTATCAGAGTGACAAGAGCCCAGCCTAGGTTGATCCCAAATACACGCACACGCGTGCACACACCACAGGGCAGGGCGATGACCCATCCAAGCTGAGTTAGTCTCTGTTCTCGCTCTCCCCCCCCACCACCCCCGGGGTTGTGCTGGGGTGGGGGGTGCAGGGGAGAGCGAAATTGTGTCGCGATTTGTGTTCAAAGCCGGGCCGAGTTGCCCGTGTTTTTTGGCCTTTGGGGCCAAGGACGTCGATTTGAGGGTGTTCCTTACTCGTGTCTCTGCAGCTCTCGGTGCGCCTGACACCCACGACGATGCTGTACGCCGGGAAATCCCCCGATGGATCGCACGTTCTGGTACGTGAGTTACCTCTCTCTCCTGCTGCCCCTCTCTCCCTCCCTCCTTCCCGCTGCCCCTGTCCCTCCCACTAGCAGTAAGGGAGCACATAACAGGATGAATGAAAACGTGAGTGCATGCCCACTGTCAGGGGAGAGTGGGTGGGACATTACAGGGAGACCGGGGAGTGAAGGAATTAGACTGGGTGGGATATTAAAGGGAGCAGAGAGTGACGGGGGTCGGGGGAGAACGGGATTAGACTGGGTGGGATATTAAAGGGTTGGGGAGGGAAGAGTGGGATTAGACTGGGTGGGATATTATAGGGTGTGGGAGTGAGGGGCGAGAGTGGGATGAGACTGGGTAGGATATTAAAGGGAGCGGGGAGTGACAGGTGTGGGGGGAGAATGGGATTCGACTGGGTGGGATATTAAAGGGAGCGGGGGGAGAGAGTGAGCGGGATTAGTCTGGGTGGGATATTAAAGGGAGCGGGGGGAGAG